CGGCTTTCTCTGTGCAACAATCCTAACTGTCCTGGAATTAGTTCTTGTAGACCAGGCTGGCCTCAAACTTACGGAGATCCACCTGCCTCTGCCTTCAAGTGCTAGGATTTAAGGCATGCGCCACCACTGCCTGGCAAAGCTCTCCTTTTTTTTTTTTTTTAAAGTGTTTAGAATAAGTCACTCTCTTTGTTAAATTCTAGCATGAGAACTACATATACTTCACTGGGAAATAATGTGTTCATGTTTGGAATCAGAAATTACCTCCTCCTTGAAGGTTGGGTTGGCGTTTCTAGGAGGACAGACATGTTTTCTGTTGCGGGATTGTTCTTAGACAATGTTTTAAATTGTTTCACACATAGTTATTGGATTAGTCAATTTCCTATCACTTTGCAATCTTAACATTTTAATTACATTTATTCATTTATTTGTGTGTGGTGGGAGCGTGGATGCTATGGTGCACAAAGAGCAGCTGTGAGAGTTGGTTCCCTCCCCGGAGATTGAACTCAGGTCCTCAGGCTTGGCTGTGAGTGCTTTCACCCCACTGATCCTCTGTCCCTTTTTAAATTAAACTAAATCAATTGCATTTTCTTAGAAGTATTTCACCTCAACCACATTTAAATCCACAAAATAGAAGTCGTAAAGAGTCTTAAGGTTCTGGGTGAAAACATTTTCTAGGTATAGATTCTTTTCTCTATTCTTACTCAAACCTCAGGGCTATTGTGTGTATCATCCCCCCACCAGCTTCATTTCCCAGTTTAATGAATTCTTTGCTTTCTAATACATCAATTGTCCTTACTATCCTTTTCAAGTGTTTTGAGCCTAACATTCATGGACAAATAATTGTCAATGTTAATGAACAATTTATTTTCCTTCTTCTGTTTGATGCTAAAACTTCTTGCAGTCCCTAAGTAAAATTTGCAACATTTAGGCCACATCTTATGGGTTTTGCAATATGTGGCATTCTGTGCTTCTATGTCTTATTATAGATTTAAATTTTGTTTCCATTGTAACATATTTTAAGGTTAACTTTTGTTTTTCCATTGAAATATATATTTACATTATACTTATTATATAAGTATATATACTTATTTGAATATATATACCAAAAATATTTTGATATGAAAAGGAAGTATCCACATATAATAGATGTCTGTCTTCTAGTGTCTCTCTGCACATGCTCTTTTTTCCTCTAGACCTCTGGCAAGGACTCCTGTACTATAATATAAAATCGCTAAGGCTTGATTTTCTCCTTTGTTTTTCCTGTTATGGGCATCTGTCTGATCCCTTCTGTTTAATGCATGTCCTTAAAGATGTTTGTGTCTTTGGAGAATATTTAGTGTTCTTATACAGTTTAATCTATAGAAACAAAATTGTCCTACATAACCAGAGCATCCTATATTCTTCTCGGGACATGGTGGTTTATATCTGTTGGAGAAGGGATCCATGTGGCCCAGACTAGCCTTGAACTCTATGCATTTGAGGATGACATTGAACTTCTCCTCTTCATGATTCTGAGGGCTGGGATTATAAGAACACTACCATGTTCATGTGATGATGGAGATCAGACCCAGGTCCTTGTGCATTCTCCCAGTTGAGCTATGTTCCTATCCCCAAATGTCCCGTTTTAATTTCTAATCTATTTTCAACAGTATTTTGTGTCCTTTACTTCCCGAATGGTCTCTATTTAGATGTCATTAGTGTGAACATATTCCTCTTCAGGATTGCGGGATTATGAAGATTCTTTTTGAAAAAGATTTCATTTTTATTTTCAGTTATGTGTGTGTGTTGTCTGTGTGTGGGTTTGTCCATATGACTGTTGGTTCCCATGGAGGCCAGAGGTGTCGATCCCTGGGAGCTAGAGTTACAGGCAGCCCCCAATATGGGTTCTGGGAAAACTTGGATCCTCTGGAAGAGCAGTACATTCTTATAACCTAGGAGTCATCTCTCCAGCCTATTAAAACCTCTTTTAAAAATGTGTTTTATTTCAAGACTTAAATATATGGCTCTGTATGTCTTTACTTAGCTTTATCTTTTTTTGCTTTTTATGTTTAGAGTTTTGCTCTGGAGTTTGTGCTGTGATTCAGCTTCATTCTCCTCTGTTCCTAGAGCCAGTTTCTTCACCTGCAGTAGCAAGTACCAAGTCCCCTCACATGCATTCATCAGGCTACGGGCTCCCAGCTGTCCCCTTGGCTGCCTTTCCTATACGGCAGTGCATATCCTGTTTCTATCATGGTAAGCCTTGGAATCTATTTGTCTGCTTGGTCAAGTCTGCCCCCACATTGATGCTTCCAATTTTCTCTCCTTTCTCCGAAAAGTCCATATAGCTCCTCTGGATGATGGCAAGGAAGGCTCTAAGTTGTACTTTGGTCTCGTGAATCTGTGAACAAGGCTGTGAACTTGAAACTTGCTTTTACAGGACTTGATACAGGCTTTGAACCAAAAGCTAACCCCTGGGCTCTCCTGACTTTCTGGATTCCCACTTCCCATTCAAGTTTGGGGCTTCAAGAAGTCTTTACTTTCCTGTACTCTTATGCATGAAATTTAAATGCAGGGTTGTTTTGTTTTGTTTTTTAAATAGGGCAATGGCGCAGAGATTAAAGTACTTGCTGCATAACTGTGAGGACCAGGGTTCAAATCCTGGAACCTGTAAATGCTGAGTTGGTGTGGCAGCCTGCATATAATTCCAGCCTCAGATAGCGTGGGCATGGGATCTCTAGAGCGAGCTAACTCATAAGACTGGCAATACGGGGTGGGAGGAGCACTGGGTTTGACTGAGAGACTGCTGAAATGAAATGAGGAAACGGTGGCAGATGCTTCCAGGCTCAGGCTTGGGCTTCCACATGAACGCTTGTACCCATGTGCACACGCACATTTCACACATGCAAACATGTACAGCATACATGCACACATGCATGAAAATGAAAAAAAAAGTTTGAAAATGCTTTTTTAAAAAAGCCAAAACCACATTCCTAGTTTTTTCCAGCAAGAAGATCCTGTTAGGTATCTTGTTTTTCATATGTGAACTGACTTTGTATATTGTTTAAGGTCGTTCCTCTGTGAGCAACAGAATTTTTAAATGGTTTTTTGAGACAGGGTTTCTCTGTGTAGCCCTGGCTGTCCTGGAACTCACTCTGTAGACCAGGCTGGCCTCGAACTCACAGAGCTCCATCTGCCTCTGCCTCCCGAGTGCTGGGATTAAAGGCGTGCGCCACACCTGGCCAGCAACAGCATTTCTGTGCACTAGTGGAGGCCTCCGCTCTTGTCCTTAGGCAGAACTTTTTCTTCCTGGTTCATAAAGTTTCAAATGTCACTGAGGAATATAGATAGGCCTTTTTTTTTCTTATGTTGGAGATAGATTCCAAGGTCCCATGCATCCTAAGTGAATGTTCTATCACTGGGAGGCAATGTAATTCCATAAAAAGATGTTTTAAGTCGTAAGAAACCTGATGTCACCTTTTGATGTACAACACTGTAAGTGTTCTTTTTCCGCATTCACATGTCTTTGCACACAAGCAGGGGGACTGGTTAGTGTTTTTAAGATTGCCACCTATAAGCAAGACTGTAGGAAAGATGAACAATTGTACCTTGGAGGCCCAGAGGATCTTCAGGAGGGCTTACCAGTCAGAGAGCTAGTAGAACAATGAAGAGGCCACTGTGGTTGCAAGCTTGGACCTTAGCACAGAGTTTAACAGGTTCATAGGCAGGTCTCATTCTTGGGGACAACAAAGGCCTAAGCTAGCAAATATTGCTGCTACCTCAAGCCTCCCTCCCTCTCCCGCTGCAGGACACATCTGGCAGCTCCCTGGTTTGCCAGATGAACAATACCTGGATCCAGATGGGGGTGGTGAGCTGGAGCTTTGGCTGTGGTCGTCGCCAATTCCCGAGCGTCTACACCAGCACCTCCCACTTCGCCCAATGGATCAAGAGACATATCGGCGACATGAGGTTTGCCAGTATGGCTGTTCCTTCCTTCCTGAGCCCATTCATTCTCACTGGCTACATTCTGCTGGTTTCCTTGGGCTCCCTGTGGCTCTTGTGAGCCGTGTTTCTGCAACAGTCATTCCCAGAGGGTACCTTTCCCTCCTCTCTACTCGGCCCTCAGAAGTGGACACTAGATTCTGAACAGGACTTCGGGACAGTGGGACTTTGGGGGAAGGGTCCTAGACCCACTGTGGGTTTGTTCCCCAGTTGTTCAATGAAGATGCTCTTGAACCTTTTGAGCCATCTGAAGCTACCACATTCCTGACTTTGGCCATGCCCTTTAGAACGCTCTCCTCATAAAACCTGACTGTTTCTCAAGCTGAGTGTTCTCTGATAGCCTTTCTTCGTGTCTGTCATAGGCGGGTTGTATGATCATGGGAGCTTTTCCCCTTGTTTCCCCTCTTTTTTAAAAAGAAAAACAACAACAACAGCAAAAAACTTTCATGTGTATGTATGTGCACATGAGTGTAGGTGCCTGTGGAGGTGAGAGTGTCAAATTTCCCCTTGATGACACAAGTTGGTTGGAGTTACAAGTGGTTGTGGGCCTCCCCATATGCCTATAGGGACTCAAAGAAGTCTTTTACAAGAGCAGTGCACGTTCTTAACTGTAGTTTTTTGTTATTTTGGTTTGTTTGTTTTTGGGTTTTGAAACAGGGTTTCTCTGTGTAACAGCCCTGGCTGTCCTGGAACTCACTCTGTAGACCAGGCTGGCCTCAAACTCAGAGATCTGCCTGCCTCTGCCTCCCGAGTGCTGGGATTAAAAGCATGCACCAACACCGCCTGGAAACTGTAGACGGTGGTGAAGATAACATGGAAGCATAGGAACTAGCTGAGGTGAAGCAAAGTCACCCAGAGAAAAGGGCTCACAAGTTTGAGGCAAGACACCAGCCCGGAGTCACGCTCTGCTTGCGCGCCATTCGGCAGGAGCGCTCCAACGAATGGCGCCCAGGGGGCGCCACACAGGCTGCGCACCGCAGCGCCCGATGGGGGGCGCCATTGCGGAGGAACCTAGCGGTGCAATGGAGCCCTGGTGCTGGGCTGGGGTCCGTGGGCAGGGTCCTCAGGGTCCCCATGGGCCCGGGGCCTCTCGCACCCGCACCCGTGCCCGTGCCCTTCTTCTGCTGTTGCTGCTGCTGCTGCTGCTCCTGCCTCGGCGCCCCGCAGGTGAGCCCCCTCCGCTGCCGGCGCCCTCCCCAGCGCGCGCACACCCCGGGCCACCTCTGACCCGCTATGACCTGCCGCAGGCTGCTTGGCCACAGGTGCATCATCCCCCGGGGCGCTGTCCACCTCAGTCCCCAGCGGCCCTGGAGTCTCCTGTGGGCCCGGAGCCACCTGTCCCTCAGGCGGGCTTCGCCTTCCCCGGCAAGTCGACGCTTCAGCGACCACTGTTCTAACGACACAGCCGACACAGCCGACGACACAGCCGGCTGCGGAGACACAGTCGGCCACCACAGGGATGGCCAGGATCGTTCAGGGGACCAAACCCAGCAACCTCCTCTGTGAGTTCGGCTTTGGGATCTCGGAGGTTGAAGGGTCAAGGGATCAAGGGCCCAGAGGAGAGTAGAAGGAAGGAAAAGTCCTGTGCAAATGTTTACTGAGCACAGAAGGTTGGGCCAGGCCTGGTCCTGCCTTCGGGGCCCTGTGCTTCCATCATGGTGAGGTAAGTAGGGGACAAGGAAAGTTAAAGTAGGTGAGAAGACGGGTGTGAGGTGGTGTTGTTGAGGTGCCCAGAGTAAGCCATAGCCAGTTGCCTCTCTGGCAGCCGCAGGCCTTCCTTGGACCTGGTCTCCCGGTCTCGGTTCCCAGCCCAGAGCCTACAACACAACTCCAAGAAGGCCGAGTGAGACTTCTTGTGGGGTCTGCAAGGCCCACCTGGCATTTTAATTCCCTTGCCGTGATAAAGCAGCTTGAAGGGGCAGGCAGGAACTTTATTTTGCTTATACTTCCAGGTCATAGTTCTTCACTGAGGAAAACCGGGGCCAGAACCTGAAGCAGAAACCATGAAGGAAGGCTGTTTGCTGGCTCTCTCTCGCATAGAATCATGCTTAGCTAGATTTCTTATGTAGCCCAGGAGCCCCTGCCTGGGGATGGTACCGTTCCTCACACACACACACACACACACACACACACACACACACACACACACGGCTGTACTGTATCATCAGTTAGTAATTGACAGCCCCACACTGAACTGCTCACAGGCCTATCTGATTTAGACAGCTCCTGAGTGCAGGCTTTTCCTTCCGGTGGCTCCATGCCGTGTCAACCTGACCACTAACCCTAACCAGTGCTCCAGCATGCTTTCACAAAAGCAGGGAGCTGCAGCTAAGCCCCGTGGAGAAAATGGTTACTAACCTGGGATTCAATTCAAAAAGTCTAGCTAGGGACATCAAGGTCCGGAGCATGGTGCGTGCTGACAGCCTGTTGGCTGAGCATCGTTTGAAGATGCTCTGATGGGCTGGGGAGATAACTCAGTGGCTCAGAGCTCTTACTCCGTGAGCACACGTGAGAACCTACGTAAACAGCTGGGTGGGTATGGTCCCCTGCTCCTGCATCCCCGGGAGAGTGCTGGGACCCCAGTCCCTGCCTGAGGAGGCTGCCAAGGTAGCTTCGGGTTCAGCGAGAGAATAACATAGAGAGTGATGAGGACACTCGGACTCCTCCTCTGGCCTCCACATGCTCACACGAGTGTGTGTCTCCACCCATCCACACAAGCATGTAGACAACGTACAACACAGGAATACCATCTACCAGGCCCTGATTTACATTCCCAGCACTCCAAGTGAATAAATAAATATGTAAACAAATATATAAATATGCTGGCTGTAGCACATTTACTTGGTTTCACAATCCACCAATTTGTTTTTATTTTTATTTATTTTTATTTCCTTTGTTTTATTTTTTAGGCATGTAGTGTTTTGCCTGCATGTATGTTTGTGCACTGTTTGTGTGCCTGATGCCTCTGGAGGCCAGAAGAGAACACCAGAACACACACACACACACACACACACACACACACACACACACACACCGGAGCTACAGATGGTTGTGGGCCACATGTGCATGCTGGGAACCCAATTTCTATCTTCTGTGCTTTTTTTTTTTCTTTCAGATTTTTAGAAACAGGCTCTCTGTAGCTTTGGCTATCTTGGAACTCACTCTGTAGACCAGGCTGGCCTCGAACTCACAGAGATCCCCCGCCTCCCGAGTGCTGGGATTCAAGGCGTGCGCCACCATCACCGCTGCCGCAGCCAGTGCCCTTAACAGCTGAGCCATCTCTCTAAACCCCAGCTTCAATTTCAAAATTCTTCCCGAAGTGCCCTCAGCAGTTGACACCCCCATCGTCAGGAGGTGCCTCCTCACGGCTTAGAATCCACACCAGCATTTGGTGTTCAGACACTTAGCTTTTGTTAGATGGGCGTGTGATATAGCTTAGGGCTGAATCCTCCCTAGTCCCAAAGAGAACAAGCTTCTGGGACTTGTGCCAATTTGCTCTCCCTTTTGGGATGTCCCTGCTCCCTCATACAGTCTGTCTTACTGTTGGGTCATCTATCTTTATCTCCATGAATCCCAAGAGGGGACTCCCAGAGAAGGGGCAGGGTCCACACTGGCTCAAGGAGGGGGACCAATCTGCAGCCCGAGCTGTAGGAACAAGGAGATAGGTATCTGGATAGTGTCGAGGCTTCTCTAAAGCTGGAGATGTCCCTGGGTGGATGCTATGGTTCCATAGTGACAGGCAGAGAAGGTTGGGTAGCTTCAGGTGAGTGGCTGGAGAAGCTGGAGGGCAGGGAGGACGGGAACAGAGCCATAAGACGTGGCCAAGTGAACTTATGGCTTCATCAAGCTCTTTTCTTCCTCCCAGTCTGTGGCTCCTCCCATGAGCCAGACCCGACCCTCAGGGACCCAGAAGCCATGACTCGGCGGTGGCCATGGATGGTCAGTGTGCAGGCTAACGGCACCCACGTCTGTGCCGGCACCCTTATTGCTTCCCAGTGGGTGCTGACCGTGGCCCACTGCTTGACGCAGTGAGTTGGGGCCCAGGTGGGTGGGTGGAAAGGCCTCTGAAATGCTGGAGACCCAGGCGCTCTTCCAGGTGACCCATCAAATAGCAGTTGGGTCCTGTGTGGAGCCCACAGCGCCAGCCCTGGTCTCATCCTCACTCTGAGCAAGGGAAGGTTGAGCCTCACAGATGCCTTCCTGGGACTTGGCTTTTGGCATGTACCCACCCTTTGCCCCTTTACCTACCCTTCAGTCCTGTGCGGTCATCCACAGGTAAGGAGGGCCTTTCATTCCACCCTCTTTGCTCCCAGTCCCTCCCACTTGCCTCCTTTCAATCAATGGTTTCTGGTTTTTCTTGAGAGAGGCCCTGACTTAGAACCTCTCAGAGTGGTTAGGGACAAGAAGACAGACATAAATTGTGTGGAGATAAAAGGGTGGGTTTGCCCATGTTCCGGGGCCTGGGAACTCCCAAGAGTAGTGTCTGATGTTTACCTTGGGACTGACCAGTGAAGACAGGTTCCGGGTTGACGTAAGGATCAACACAGTGACTTCAAGAGGTATCCCAGGGAAGGTAGCTTGAGATCAAGGCCATGGTCATCATACAGGGAAAACCCCCAGAGTTCAACTAGTGGAAATGGAGTCCACATCCCAGGTGTACCACTTCCTAAGTGTGCATCCCTGAGCATGCTGCGGCACTACTTTGAATCTCCATTTGCCTCCTGCACAAAATGAAGAGAACCGCACAATGTGTGCAGGCCTCTGCCTGAGCAATAGGCTCAGGGGGCCATGAAACCCAGGGTGGCCTGCCTGGATTGGCTTGGAGGACCACAGTGGTGTAGAGGGCAGGACTGGGGACTGAGGCAGGAGCCTAGAGCTGATGGAAGGCACACCCCCTCTGTTCCCACCCCCTCCCTGTTCCCATAGGCAGGACGTTAAGTATACGGTGAGGGTGGGGAGCCCATGGATTAACCAGACGTCCAAAACCAGCACCGATGTGCCAGTACATCAGATCATCGTAAACAGCGACTACCAAGCCAAACGGTACTGGTCCTGGGTGGGCCGGACCAATGACATCAGCCTCCTCAAACTACAGTGGGGGCTCAAGTACAGCAAATATGTGTGGCCCATCTGCCTGCCTGGCCTGGAATATGTAGTAGCGGACAATTCTCTCTGCACTGTGACAGGCTGGGGATCTCCCAAGGTTAATGGTGAGTCATAGCCCCACCCCCAGCCCAGGGTGCATGGTGGGAGGAAGGACTTGGGTGTGGCTGGGGTGCCCCATGGATGGACATCTCTGGAGTACCTTCTTTAAGGAGTTCCCTGAGCCAGGAACCTTTTGTTGGTTTCTCATCTCTGAAGTCTCCTCCCCCTTTGAGGGGCTTGTCAGTGAACTTATCATAGCCATTATTGCCCTTGAAGTCTCAGGATAGAGCCAGGATATGTAAACAGAACTTTCTTGAAAGCAAGGAGGTCTTGGCACCCCCACACAACCCTAGGGCACTGGCAAACAGAGTACATGAGAATGGGTTTTCGATGCTGCAAAAAGGCTTCTCAGAACAGATGCAGCTGTGTCAAGGGATCATTTTCCTGGTGGGTTCTAGGAATGTCTGCACCCTTCATGGAGCCACCAATGCATAAGAGAGATGCCCATCTCTGTATGCTTGAGGATCCAAATTTGCCCTCTAGACAGTCTGTTCTGTGACCTCTCTGGGAATGAGCAGAAGTCTCCTGTCCCCCAGAAGCTCAGACACATTTTGGGTGGGATGGAAGATGGTGCTGAGGGCTGGGGGTGTGGTGGGGTATCCACAGAGAGGGTCTGGGAAAGCTTAGTGAGGAGGTGGCTCTAGGGCCTGGTTTGAAAAGAAAGGCTTTGGTCCTGAGAGTGCTGGCAGGCCCTGGGAAGAGGACCCGCAGAGCCCATTGGTGTGGACGGTCTGTTCCAGCACCTCTGTATGGGGGCATCCTTGGGACCTACTGGCCGGAGGGGAAAATACCCCTAACGTGGAGACATCTCTATGGCCACTGTGCAAAAGAGACAGAGCTGGTGGCTGTGGGCCACAGCCAGTGACTAAACCTGAATGGGGACCTGTCCCACAGGCAGGTGGCCCCAGTTCCAATCCCTTCAGGAGAAGGAAGTCTCCATCTTGAACAGCCGGAAGTGTGAGCGGTTCTACCACAAGTTCTCCAGAATCTCCTCTCTGATTCGGATCATCACTTCTCAGATGATCTGTGCCTCGGACAACGACAGGGAGAAGTTCTGCTACGTGAGGACCTCTGCCCCTGTTCATCTATCCCGAGGGCCAGGGTTGAGGGCTGCGGGAGGCAGAGCTGAAGGCTGTGGAGAGAGGAGGGAAGGAGGATGGGAGACAAGCAGGGGTGGAGAGGGAGTGGGGAGGCTGGAGAGGGCACGTGAGGGCAGGGGTGTTTGGCTGGAAAGGGGTGAACTGGATCGGATGGAAATGAGAGGCGTGGAGCTGAAGCTGAGGAGTGTCCTTTGGGAAGAAAATAACGGGTCAGGAACACTCATCGCTTATGTTCAGACTGGGAGGATCTGGAAAGAGTCTGGTGGGAGATACCCTGGGCTGGCTCATCGAGTTATGCCCCTCTCAGGCGTAGCTTCCCCTCCCTGACTCTTTTAACTTCCTCCCTCCTTACAGGAGCTAACTGGCGAGCCCTTGGTCTGCTCTTCTGATGGCACATGGTACCTGGTGGGGATGATGAGCTGGGGCCCAGGTTGCAAGAAGAACGAGGCCCCACCCATCTTTCTGCAGGTCTCCTCCTACCAGTCCTGGATCTGGAACCACCTTAGCGGGAAGGCCCTGGCCCTTCCAGCTTCCAGAACCTTGCTCCTGGCTTTTCTTCTGCTCCTCAGCCTTCTTGGCACTCTGTGACACTGCCAGGTCTCCTTCCCTTCCTGCTGAGCGCTGCTGTGGGTGTGGCAATCGGCAAGGACTAGCAGAAATTAAACACTTTTTTCCCCCATGTCTCCTCTTTCTGAACCCGCTCTAGTGGGAAGCAGGCATACACCGAAGTGTGGGTGAGGGACTCTGGCTGCTTATACTGAAAAGTGTAGGCCTCTAAAGATTTGGGGTGACTCCTGCAGAAAGTAGAGGGGTGTGTGAAGGGGCAGCAGGACGACTGGGTTGTACTACCCAGGCTAAAGCTGGGGCTGCTGGCACCTCCTTCCCAAGTCCCTAAATGGAGAATGACAGATTCCATTTGTTCTTTTGAAGACAGGGTTTCTCTGTGGAACCTTTGCTGTCCTGGAACTCGCTATATAGACCAGGCTGGCCTCAAACTCAGAGATGCGCCTGCCTCTGCCTCCCCAGTGCTGGGATTAAAGGTGTGCACCACCCACCCTGCTTTCTCCCTGGTCTCAACTGCCTTCTGGCCAGAGGCAGAAACTCGTCAGAATATCTTCCTGAAGTTCCACACACTACTTTGACCCTCTAGCCCTGCTTGCAGCCTGGGGATGCAGGTACAAAATGGACCTGGTAGAACCTACACAGTTCTCCCAGACTGCACCAGCTGATGCTCTGAGTGACCTTGAGTGACCTCTGCCCCCTGGACGTCCATGCCTGGCCACACAAAGGGGTTCTGGTCTGTCTGGGGAGAGGGACCCCAGCCAACACTATGAATGAGAAGCCCATACAGTGGAGCCTGAAGGTAGAGATCAGCCAACTGTACGTGACTAGTCAGGGTACTTCTCTACTTCCATGATAGAGCCTTCTGTGACCCCTCTGCCCCTCAATACTACTTTCTCACATCATCCTGGCAGGCTTTTCCTTGTAGGATGCTGATGTGGGACCGTGTCAGGAATGGAATGATTCCCCTGAGTGCCGCACCAGGCTCAAGACATTAGAGACCCATTGAGAGCAGGAGGGAGAGTGGAGGGGAGCTCCGGTGAGCCTCCCCAGTTTCCCTCCCCAACCCGAGTTCACCTGCTGGGGTGGAGTGGCTGCAACTGCTCCCCAGCCTCTGGGCCTTTAAAAAAAAGATTTATTTTTATTTTATTTGCATTGGTGTTTTTCCTGCATGTATGTGTGAGGGTGTTAGATCTCCTGGAACTGGAGTTACTGACAGTTGTGAGCCACCATGTGGGTGTTGGGAATTGAACCCAGATCCTCTAGAAAAGCAGTCAGTGCTCTTAACTCCTTAGCCATCTCTCCAGCTTCCCCATCCCCCCTCTTTTGGTCTGAATCTGGGTCAGGGAGAGAACTTGAGGCTTGTCGGAGGCACCTATTATTATGAATTACTGTGTTACCTTCTACAGGAATCCTCCAGGGCTTGGCAAAGCACATGTCGGGTGGAGTTCATTTCAGGTGGAAGTGTTGTATTCTGAGGCTGAGCAGGCACCCAGTTTGATTGAGAGATCTCTTCGGGACACCTTTCTAGCAGGGCTTCCCCCCTGGTCTTCCCACAGTCCCTGTCCCCAGCTCTGGTCAGAGCTCCTCATTTTGACGTTGAAAGACTCTTGTCCAGAGTCAGCCCCTCAATGCTGTTCGAATAGTCTTTTTGGCAGACACTTCCTTTAGTAGACATGGCAGAAGAGGAGTAGCACATGGCTGTGCTCAGCAGGTGGATGGGGAGACCCAGGCTTGCTCGCTCAGTCCCTGGCCTCAGCCCTCTTCAGTTTTCAGACCCCACCCCTGAACCAGAAGCCCGTAGGCTCTGGGCCTCATGCCAGCCCCTCTGCGGCCCCAGCTCCACACACTGTCACTCTGTTTTCAGAACTTGGCATTTGCCAGGTCAGGAACTCTCCTGATAATGGGGCCACTTTGGCAGCCAGAATCAGATTCCTGCCAAGTTTGGGGCGATTTCCTTGCTATCAGGGCTGCTATCTAGCTGTGTCAGAGAATCTCATGTCACAGATGCCTCCATCAGCCCTCCCTCCGTACTTATGGGGTTCACACAGAACTTGTTCAATCCTGCATCTGAAACCACCAACCAGACTCCTCCATAGGTACCTCTGCCCCTGGCAAAAAGGGTGGGACAGAAGCCTGTCTGGATGCGGGGGGGGGGGGGTAGTTTGAGGCCACTCTATCTCTGCAGAGGACAGTGACCCAAGAGAAGTGGCCAGGCTAATGATGTGAATGGAGCAGAGTCCAGGATGGACACTCGTGAAGTCTTAATCCCTACGTCTTTTGGGCTATGAGGTCATGGCCATGGCCTTGGTTTCTCAGACAAGAGCCTGTGGTCCATGTCTGAACATGGAGTCCTGGTGCCTGGATCCTGGTCTGAACTTGGACTTCAAGGCCTGCCAGGCCTAACTGCCACCTCCAGGAGACTCTGCTCATTTCTCTCCTTTCTTCTTCTTCGCCTCATTCTTCTCCTCTTCCTCTACCTTGATAGCCACTGTGTCCACACTGTCCTTCTTCTTCTTCTTCTTATCCTCTGTGGGTAGGGGGCAAAGCCACCGTGGTGAGATGGGAGGAAGCCCCGAAGCTTGCCTCACCCGCTCTTCCCACCCCTCCCTCTCAGGTATTTTTTATCTGAGGTGCGTGTGTCTGCATGCCTGTTTGTGTCAGTGAGTGTGCACGTGTGGGCATGTACATAGAGAGCAGAGGTTGATGTTGAGTGTCTTCCTCTACTTTCTACCTTATTATCTATTTATTTGAGAAGTCTGGAGCTCACCGATTTGGCAAGACTTGCCAGCCGGTGAGCGTAAGGAAACCTCTGTCACCCTTTCCCCAGCACTGAGATTTACAGGTGCATGATCATGCCTGGTTTCGTTTTGTTTTGTTTTGTTGTGGATGTTGGAGACGCAAAATTAGGTCCTTGTGCTTGTATGGCAAAGATCTTACTGACAGAGCGGCTGCCCCAGCCCCTGCACCCCTCCCGCAGCCTCCCCAGCAACCCCCCCCCAAATTTTTCTGCAACAAAATGGGCTCCTTATTTTAGTTGCCTAGCTCTGACTAGTTTCTGCATTTTGGTCTCTTGGGGTTGTGCCCAGTCCCTTCTCTGAACCAGCTGCAGGGACAGACAGGGTGATTTAGGACAGTGGGGCTGAGGAATTGGCCGGCTGCAGGACTCATGGCTGGCTACCGTGGGTCTGGAATCTACTTACCTCCAGGGATTTCTGTGAGTTCGTTGAGTGGAGGCACGGTCTCCAGCTTGTCTGTGTACATCTTGGCGGCCTTCCGCTGTAGATACCGGGCCTCAATCTCCTTCCGTGTCCGTGGCACACGGCAGTTGAAGACACAGCACAGCGTTATGACTGCATGGATGTCAGAGCAGGTTTGGCTAGGGAAGGGTCTCAGCCAGCTTGTGTGGTACCCGACTATTAGGCCTGACTCTGTTTGCTTAGGCGTGTCTCTCATAAGAGACTCCTGCAAAAGCCTGAGGTGACCTCCCGCGTGAAACTGACTTTCTGCGGTTGCGTATGGCCCATGCATGCTCAGTGTAATACTTCACTGTCAACTTCTTAGTAACTTGGACATGAAGCCTGGTATTTTCAACTGTACTAGCCCCACAAATTCTATAGCCACTCTCGGTCTGATAGTCTTTCTGGTCACACTGGTACTGGAGGAAGGTAAAGTGAAGGCCTTAGGTCTGGCTCAACCTACCCAGAGTCACCCTGTGCTTCTGACTTAGGACGAGGCCTTTCTGGGTGCTCCTAAAATGCTCTGGATTTCCTTCTCCAGCCTCCTTACTGCAGAGGCAGAGGTACCTCAAGCACATAAGCATGTGGCTACATCCTCCCCAGCCTCCCCAGCATCCTCATCCTCCCCAGCATCCCCATCCTCCCCAGCCTCCCCATCTTCCCCAGCATCGCCTTCCTCCTCAGCATCCCCATCCTCCCCATTCTCCCCAGCATCCTCATCCTCCCCAGCCTCCCCATCCTCCCCAGCCTCCCCTTCCTCCCCAGCATCCTCATCCTCCCCAGCCTCCCCATCCTCCCCAGCATCCCCTTCCTCCCCAGCATCCTCATCCTCCCCAGCATCCCCATCCTCCCCAGCATCCTCATCCTCCCCAGCCTCCCCATCCTCCCCAGCATCCTCATCATCCCCAGCCTCCCCATCCTCCCCAGCCTCCCCAGCATCCCCTTCCTCCCCAGCATCCCCAGCCTCCCCAGCATCCCCTTCCTCCCCAGCATCCTGGAGGACAAGCCTGGGCCTGGCTGATGAGAAGGCCCAGAACTCTGTCCTGGATATTTACTTCTGAGAATGTGATCCTAGGAGTGTTTTTCTGGTTAAGGGCAGCTGTGCCCACATCAGCTGGGACAGAGCATAGAGCTGGCCTGTCTAGTGATGCGCTGGGCAGGGCTGCCAGGACCTGGCTGGCTGGGCCGAGTTTATTTTTCTAAGGCTCCCACAATCTGACCACTGTGGCCCCGGCCCCTGGGGAGGAGGTGGGGCTGGTTCCTATTATAAATAATATGGCCAGACAGAGCTTCCTGGCAGGCTCCTGAGGTGCAGAAGGGCCCAGGCATGACAAGCCAGGTCTATTTTGAGGAAATGGATCATAGCTAGGTAGTCTGGGATCATCTTGTTTAACAAAGTATCTCTTGAGCCAAATATTTTGGTTCCACGTGTCTCACCCAGACTTTCAAGATGAGAGAAGCAATGGAATGGAATGGATGGATGGATGGATGGATGGACTGGCAGAGAGACGAATGGGAGGGATGGGTCAAAAGCCTCCACGGCTGGGAACAGATTGGGTTCCTGAACGGCATTCAGGAATGCACTGAGAGTGGGTCGGGGCTGCCTGCACTAGGGCCCCAGCATATGGTTCTTGGGGTTAGACCTGAGGTGACAATGGACTTTTATTACTCAAAGTGCTGTGCTTTGGTCTTTCCCAGACCCCTGTGTGGGTGCCTTGGACTTCCTTGGGTCATCTTTCCCTTGTCACCCCACTGACACCCTCAGGACCCCACCTGTTCAGGCTCCAT